TATATATATATTAGGGGTTTAAAGAAATTTTCTTTAAAAAAATTCAGATATTAGCATGTGCGTGCAGAAGTGTTAAAACAGCCACAGTCCTTCATGTATAACATGGCCAAAACAGTCTGCTGATGATGGTAGTGGTAATCCCCAAATCATGTTCGGCGTGCCTGATTGAAAAGTGAAAGTCTCTTTAACTTCATTTCTCACTTCGGTCTTAGGCCCCGTTCACACTGAGCGATTTATCGCGCGGTAATTCCCGCGATATCGCGGCTATTTACCGCGCGATATCGCTCTCCAATGCATGGCAATGGGGCAAAGGGTCCTGCTGTCGCGGGTCGTGTGTCGCTACAGCAGGACCCTTTTTGGAGCGGATTTTGCCGCGATTCAATGCTTGTCCATGCAAGCATTTGCGCGATATCGCGTGACAAATTGCACAATATCGCGCAAAATGCCAATCGCGCGACGAACACGCGATTTGCGAATCGCCAAGTGTGAATGGGGCCTTAGTATTTGCGGTTTACACTTTCAATTGCTAACATGCACACATTCCACAGCTCCGAGTACCAGCATTTATGGGATGCCAAAACATGAAATTCACTATGGAAGATAACATGGTAAAAGTCACCACAACAGCATTCGCACAAGAAGTGTTCTGAGCAGGTGACTGGCAACATTTTTGACATTCCCTAGGACTCCGTCTGCACACAAATGGGAACTTTGTAGGAAAATATGATGATTGCAGTCTCCTTTAAGGTTGAGAATGAATTGCACATATTTTTAGTTCGCTTACATTTTGATATGTTTGACCATTTTCCTAAAGATTTGAATAGGATTGACATAGACACCTTTTTCTCACTTTGCTGAATCATGAGGCGGTCCTTGGCAGCCGAGATCTAATAATTACCTTGCTTATTAGCGCACAACAGAATGAGATGTTTTCTAATGCCATTGCTGAAGTAATAGATAGGCCTGATGCAGGAAGACAATATAATGGCTTACTGTATATAGAATCCAGTGAATAGGAGAGAACTTTAATTCTGTATAGTGTATATATATATACAGGGCCGTTTTTATATCCCAATAACCAAAAGAAGACAAAACTGCTAATAGCCATCATGACAAAAGTTGTGCTAAAGGTATTAAATCTGTATTAAGAAAAACATACAGGCGCTAATGCTTACTTCAGTTGCTAAAAATTTTGTTTCCCGGCTGCTACAGTGTCAGGTAAATATTGCACAATAATATTTCATATTTAAATTTCGAGCCATCAAGTGGCACTCAAGTATCATTTTAACTTATCTACCAGGCTGCTTTAGCCGCTATGCTAGTTAATGTTCTACTTTAGAATTTACAAGCAGTCAGAGGGAAGATGAATGACTAATCCACTCCTTGTTTGCTCTTTTCCGGGTTTTATTGTGTTTTAATTCTAGAGATACTGTGAGAACGATAAACACTTTTGCTATGTTTATCTTTAGGAAAACCTGTCATGCTCTGTTAATCCTGTGTTCTAGGGGCACCATGTATTAAATGCTTATTTATAAAACAAAAATGTTGTATAAATGTAGGGATGAGGGTTATAAAATAATGAGTAAAAAGAATATGAAAATGTATCATCAGCTTCAATTTAAAAATCTGATTATGTTTTAAACAACTGCAAGCAGTAATTTAGCAGGAGTAAAGATGTTTTAATCTTTATACCTTTCCATGTTCCAGCATAATTTTAGGTTTATGCCCAAGAAAGGAACATAATTTTGTAGCCACATGAAAATATTATACTGTATGTGTGCATAATGAATAGAGAATAAACTTATGTGTGGATAGCTGATGATTTATGGGTAAATGGAAGGAGGCTAATGTGTCTCTTTTGAAGAAAGGACAAAATAATTGGTAGACAAAATGTATTGCAATTCTAGTAATGAAAAGCACGAGTTTTAAGGCCTCATTCACACTCTGCTAACTCGGGGTGTACACGTCTGTGCGTCTCAATACTTGGACACAGGATGGATCCTGTCTGCATCCGAGCACAGACACCCAGACCTGCACGGATGTGCAGTTCGGGTGTGCGTATGATAGCGTATGGCCACGTACCCCCATAGGGAAGAACAGGCTGCTACAAGCAGCATCTGTCCCTCCCAGGAACGGCCCGATACAGGCGTGCATGCTGCACGGACGTGTATGCCCCGAGTTAGCGTAGTGTGAATGAGGCCTAAAGAATGACAATGTGGAAGTTACAGACCACAGTACATACCCTCATAGTTTTATAAAATTTTGGTCTGAATATCCAAAAGCCTAACCCAATTCAAAACCAGGCCCATATACTGTATGCACAGCCAGAGCATTATTCCTTGCCAAGGCATGACTGTTTGCCACTTGACTTAGACTCCAAGGAAAAGGCCTGTGTAGATGGGTATTATGCAAAGTTGTTTAAACTACTACATTGATCACTAAAATCTTATGTTTCTTTTCTTAGCTATATGAGGGTGCCTACAATGAAAATGAGAAGCTGAAAAGCAACCTCAGAGAAGCCCAGCTGGAGCTTGCAGATATTAAAGCCAAGTTGGAAAGAGTTGTGAAGGTAAAGTAGGCCCAAATTACAAATGATGAACACCTTGTAAAGTAAAGCATTGCAACAAGCAAAGCCAGGAGTATGGCATTATTTGTGTAATAAATTAGCAGATTAGCTCAAAAGGCTATAGCAGAGTATAATGTGATTAAAATACATGGACAAGTGTTAAGGAAACCTATATTGTAAAAACGCATACATTTTTTTTTATTATAGCGAAGGACACCAACCAACTATGCAAATCTGAGTGCTGACAGCTATTGCTTTGTTTACATTCAGATGTCTGCACTGCCTGTTTGACTCAGTCTTCACCATTTATAGTCATCTCAAACTTTCAGGCATTAATAATAAATCATAAGGGTATAAAGATTGACATGCATGACCAGCCAGAATTTAGATTAGATTACAATTTAGCACTCATTCACATTAGAAACGTCTGGCACGTACAGCTCCGTGCACAGCCGTATCGCTCAGCTCCCGGGAAGGACAGGTGCTGCTTGTGATCTGGCTTGGACGCAGACAGGATTCATCCTGTCAGCGCACGAGTACGCTCACCTGCATGAAACGTGCAGGGCGGGTGAGCGTAGGGCGTCGTACGGCCATGTAGTCCCATAGAGAAGGATGAGGGCTGCGTACTAATCACGCGCAGCACCTGTCCTTCCCGGGAGCTGAGCGATACTGCCGTGCTCGCAGCACAGAGCTGTACGTGCCGGCCATTTCTAGTGTGAATGAGGGCTAAGTAAACAATTTCCTGTAAGTGCAAGAAAGGACTCTGTCAGAATTAATTTAATATAGTTCTTTGACTTTAGCAAAGGGAATCCTGATTGGGTTGCTGTACTAAATTAGTGCAAAATAAATTCTTATTGCTTGCTATAGGTTAAATATATGAACTCTTTATTAACTTTATTAACTTTTTTTTTACCTTTTATGAATTCCAGAAACAGGACCAATCATCAAGTCACACTGGACTGCTAGAGGCTGAAAAGAAAGTAAGTGGCCAATGATCTGTCTTCCTATGTAAGTGCTGGTTTACAGGTAAATTGTTTACAGCTAATATTTTTCTGTTACAGGAGAAAAGGGTTTTGGAACGCAGGATGACAGAAATGGAAGATGATATTAAGGTAAGAAATAATGTTTTAAAAAAAAGACTTTCCTGCTATAGGCTAGCATGTAACCTGTAGTGTCTGTGTTTAATGAACATACTACATTAGTTACATAAGTCAAACCTAAAATGTACTTAAATAAAATGTTTTACTTGTTGACATGTTTGTAAACATATTTTTTTTACTTTGGGCTGAATGAAGCGGCATTAGAGGGGAGTTAGACTGGTTGCCGGGAGACATTGGTGCCTGAGAATCTGCAATAAAAAACACATTGGCCCCATTCACACTGAGTGATTTGTAGCGAGATTTCGACAAAAAAATTGCTTCAAGCCCGGTGCAGACTTACGCGATCCGGGATCGCGCGGTCCTGCACAATGCAGGTAGCGATTGCTCCGCTGCCCCATTGATTTCAATGGGGTGACATCTGCGCGGCAACCGCAGAAAAAAGGTAAAAGTACCTTTTTTTTGCAATACACGGCGTGCTGCTGTTTTAGCAGCGGGAAACCACGTGATCCGCTCAGCGTGACTGGGGTGCCAATAGAAAATAATGACACCTACATCACGATCGTTGCACACCTGGGCGACTCCTGACCGCGCGGCAGTCCGCGCGGAATCGAGCATGATTGCTGTGCGGTGAGGTGTCGCCTAGGGGTGCACCGGCCCTAAACATGAAGCTCAATGTATTTCAATGCATTTCAATGTAGCTCTTCACATCTCACAGCTCAATGTCCCCTGTAGCTTGTAGCTCAAGCTTGTTGCTCGAACATGAACTATTTTTCAGTGGATTTTGTGCGATTCGGCCCCAATAGGTTTTGATAGACCTGCCAAAAGAAGCGCTACATAGCTCGAAAAAATTTGCACTATAGCGCAATGTAGCTCAATGTCGCTCAGCTCAAATCAGAGCTGAAAAAGAGCTTTTTATGATGTAGCTCATTGTGAATGGGGTCGTAAAAGCACAATTTAATTATTAATGGCGTATAAGTGCCCATCTGAAACCTGCATCTTTGGTAAGATCTGAAGCACAGCAAATTGATGAGACCAGCACCTTCATTGCCAATGCAGGCAATAAATATATGCCCATAATGTAAGGACGGAAGAGAGTCAGACAGCAAACCCGAAAAGGTGGCAGCATTATACCTATCATTCTGGAGGCTTGAAGAATGTTACAGTAATTGGACCTAGAAAGGTCAGCAGCTCTGATGTTTGAAGACCTCTTTACATCTTAAGCCCTTAGCGGCACAGCTTCAGAAAATGTTTTCCTTCCTGGGGACCGGAGAAATTTGGCCATTTTTGTTATGTGTTTGTTTAACCATAATTTCCATCTTCCTCATTTATTGCAACTACACATATTATAAACCCTTTTCTAATGGACAAAAATTGTCTATAATTTGATGTGACATGTGCATATATAAATTCCTATTTGTTTTTATAAAAAATACAAACAAGCATTTCAACAACCATAAATGATGCTGCATACACAAATGCAGAAATCTAACTATACAAATCAATGGGAAATTGTTCATCAAATATGAAAAAATTATAGTAATTAATCCTATCCTATCAATAGCATGAATACATGTAAATAATTAAATTTATTTTTCCCACTGCAGCCCTTTCAATCTTAAGGGAAGCACATCTCTAGGTATTATTAGAGTGGTGTGTGTGAAAATCTCTATAAGGTTCCTGACCAGTATTGCTAGTCCCAACTGGCTGCGGTTGCTACAGGTCAATAACAATTATGAGCACTCCCAATTATGCTAACTATATGAACTTTCACACTATTCAGAAATATAAATCCACTGCCTAGTGCAGCCATATCAGAACATAAAATACAACCATATGGCATCAAAGCCTCAGGCCACCAGACCCACCACAGAGTACTATTAGTATTGTTATAGAAGGTAATTGCTTGTCGGCTACATCCAATATTAGCCTAAATTCAGGATCCTTTATGCTTATGTCCCTGTGCTTGCTCAGGATTTTTTAACAGCTACACTGTCAAATCTACAGACACCAATTCATAGCCTCATTATACTCCTGGACAAGCAGAGGTCACAACCGTGAAATGAATTGAGACATCTCTACTGATCATCTATCTGACCAATAGGATATTGTAATAATTATATAATCCAAATTTCTTGAAAAGTTTAGTAATTATGACTTAATACCTAATGGATGGGAATAGTTATATAAACCTTTTGTACAATAATTCCTTAATGCAGTGCTCCATTATGCCACCTGATATTTATACTTCTGTTTCAGGTTCTCACAGACCTAAAGTCTGACAACCAGCGTCTGAAGGATGAAAATGGAGCTTTGATTCGAGTAATAAGCAAACTTTCCAAATGACGTAGTGTAAAAGAGAAATAACTTAATCCATATACTGTATCCATTCTGTAAAATCTATGAACACTTTGAGGTCTTTGGTGCTAGAGTTGCCACTTCAGAAATATCTCTTTATATTTTGGATGCATATTTTTGTGTATATTTTGGCAGAAATAGTTTTATTGAAGCAAGCAAATGTATGTAGTATTCACTACATTCAAGTGGATGACGTAATACACTGAATTTGTAAGTCTGTATATAAAGACTAATTTTATGCAAACTAACAGCTCATAATGCTGTAAAGCTGTAGAAAATGCACCAGAAGGCAATGTGCAACTCTCACTATCAGAGGCCATCTTTTACTAAACTGACCTCAGAAAATTGAGATCTCATCGCTGTAAGTCACTACATTTTAAATTATAATTATTAGTCCCTGTTCACACCGGGCGGTTTGTACACAGTCTGTTTGTACACATTGTCTGTTACATACGAGCTTCAAAATGCCCAACACAAGAAATCCCATGAATTTTAAGGCCCTGTTCACATCTGAGCATTCGGAGGCCAGCAGCAAAACATTGTACGCAGAAAAATTAGCTTCTTTTGGCAGTTTGCAGGTCATTTTTCCCCATAGCCTTCAATGGAAATTACAGGAAATGCGTGACAAAAGCATTTTGCACATTTCTGTGCGCATTTTTGCGTGCTTGTCCATTCACTGCAATGTCTTTCAAGCTGCCAGCGAAAACATGTGTCTTTATGTGCGTGTGTCTAACGTGCGCAAAAAATGTGCATGGGAAAAAAAAGCTAGATGAAACTATGCTAAAATGATGATGCCTAGGTGAGAACGTGGACTGAGGGATGCACCGATATCAGTATTAGTGCCGATACTTGTGAAAATTCCCCAATACTAAACGCCGATACCGGAGCTTTAGATGTTTGAACAGAAGCGGCTGTCTGAGGTCCCAGGTTTGTTGGGGACCTCGCCAGCCTTCCTGTGAACCCCGGCGCCTGTTTACAGCGACTGCCACAGATCTCCTCTTCCTTCCTGGGGACCCTTGCAGCACTTCCGCCTCCCGCACCCAGCTGCGAGACCCTCTGGACCCCTGGTAACACCGTCCACAGCCTTCCCGACATCCCGGCACAGCCCACCTGAGACCCCGCACAGCCCAAATGAGACCCTCCGCTGGAGACATCAAGCTGCCACCCCAGAGAAACACAGAGTATATGTAGCTTTACATTGTTCTGCATTGCTGTATAATATATTGCTGAGATTTGTAGACCTCTATAGCTGGTGGTATTCTGCATTGCTGTATAATGTATTGCTGAGATTTGTAGCCCCTCTACAGCTTGGAGTCAGTGGCAGAACTACCAGGGTCACAGTGGTTGCAGCTGTGACCAGGTCCTGGCGCTCCACCACTGTCCTAAAACCATTGGACTGTATTGTTTTAAAATAAAAACTGTCACATGACACACAAAAAAGGTATCGGTAATTGGTATCGGCGAGTGATTGAGGAAAAGTATCTGTACTCGAAAAAATTGTATCCGTGCATCCCTAATAATTTTTCTTAGACTTTGCACTCTCTTACTGAGTTTGTTTTATATTCTAAGTCCTGGCCCATTTTTTTAGCCCATGAGACAAAATATAAAAACTATATTGTAATTATCCTCGCATTTTTCTGTAGTGCATATTAAAGCAGAAGTAAACGGCTGTAAATATAGAGCATACTTACACATTAGGGCACACCCCTTTCAAGCATGCCCTTTTTTAGTGCTAATGAAACGATCTTCAGTACCCCGTTCGGTTCCCCGCCACCAACACTTCCGGATTCCTGCAGGCCTCTTCAGACATTAGGCAGCCACTGCATGCACTTTTCTGCCCAAAAAATCCCTACTAGTGATTTTTTTAAATTTTACTGACTTTAGTAGCATTAGAATCATCTACAACCCTATAACACCAAGAGCAAAAAAAATAGTCAATTGCAATTTTATCTACGTTGACCTATGAAAATCAATTCTTTGGGAAAAAAATAATTTTTAATAATTAGTATATTTTGTTTACAATCACCCTAAACTTTTTTAAGGGTGGGGCTTTAGGCTCATGTTAATATTACTTAAGAATTTTTTAATTTAAGCCTTCCATATACAGTACTTAAAGGAGAACAATGAGGTGAGTGCTTTTCAGTAGTTCATAGTTCTAGATAGTCAGAGCCAGCTGTCACTCACGCAGCTGGGCGGATCCAGACATAATTGTCGAGATCCGCTTCAGCGTCTCAGTATACCACGAGCAGTAGCTAGCGGTATACTGAGCTTAGGGTGACGGGAGGACGCTAGTTTGTGTCTTCCCATTACCCTAACGAGAACTATGGGGAAAAGCCTTAACCCCATAGTTCTCCTTTAAGTATCATAAGTAAAAATAAAATGTTATGCTAAGATGCAAGTAACGATATTTAATGCTATATAAATTTAATTTCCAAATATGAAATATGGATACCATATTAGATATATATAAATAAAGATACCACAAAAGTCAGTTTGATGCACTGTGATTTTAGTAAATTATTCCTGGTTTCCAGAGAACTTGTCACCTATGGGATAGTGGTCTGCATAACCGTTACCTGCTGTGACCCCAGCTGTCATTACATATTTTGTCATGGCTCTCCAAGATGATAGTAAACAAATGGGCCACATAAAAGAAACCCCTCCTCCACTTCATTAGATTAGAAAAAAAACACTCACAAAATATTTGCTCTTTGTAAAATCTAATTTTAGGATGAAGTAGGGTTAAACTAATGTTCAGTTACATTACAACCTTCTAGAGGTACATTGTTGGTTATGAGAACCCGCATTAGTGAGTGTAATAATAATGCTGCCTGCATATGTGAAGCATGTAGAGCAGGGGTGGGCAACTCCAGCCCTCCAGCTGTTGTGGAACTCAATGAGGCATTGAAAGACTGACAGTTACAGGCATGGCTCCAAGAGGCAGAGCCATGTTGGAATTTGTAGCTGCAAAGCTGGCGGGCTGGAGTTGCCCACCCCTGATGTAGAGATAATTTGCAAATTTTATATATGCATATACCAACACTAGACAAACCCAACAGTACAACAGACACTGCCTAAATTAACTTTCACAGCAGAGGCTTTGGTGTTTTAAATGAACCCTGTACTGGAGGCTGCCACTGATCACCCTTTCAAAAAATGATTGTCTATCTGTCATGATGATACAATGGCCTCAGTAATTTTGGTGTCACAGGTATTCATATTAGGAGCACTAACTTTTTGGATTCTCGGTTCCGTACATGTAATACGTTATAATGCCAGCCAATTGAGGACTTGAAAGTTCAGTTGAGACCTGAAATAAGCACATTGGCACCCTTGATAGTTGGCATGGCTTAAAAGTAACTGTTTTGGGAGTCATTAACTTGGTGGGTAAAGTTCCTTTTACTAAAAGGGAAGAAGTTAGTTAATGGATATGCAATTTAATATAAACATGGATTAAGTAATTTATTTTATCCTGGTGTTTTGTCCTTGTGACCCTTCTGTTTCTAACATATTTAAGTCACTTTTATAACGTTTTGCATTTTGTTTGTTTTTATCTCTCCCACATATAAAAAAAATGGGACAAGGAGTTACAGCAGATACTGTCCATGCTATATTAAAGTCATGAGTTTGTATCCATTTTCTTTAAAAAAAAAACTAGTTTGGTTGTTTTATATGTTCTTTTATTAATGCACTTTAAACTACATTTAATATGACAAAAAGATATTTATTTAATTATAGATCTCTTGCAAGAATTATTAACATTGACACTGTGAGTGGTTACTGTCACATACATATGGCAAGCACTGATTATTTTTTTTTAGCACACCAATGTCATTTTGCAACTGCCAGTCCTTCAAGATCCCAAACTGCACTTAGGTTTGATGGTGTAAACTGAACACTGGGTATTGCTTTCAACTTTTAACTGTTTAAAGTCAGTCAGCTAGTTTTTAACATTAAGATTCCACCAGTGTTTTACTGGAAAGGTTTGGTGGTGACTGTTAGGAATCAAATTTTCTAGAGCTAAACTACATGGCTGACTTTAATCTCAGTTTTCTTGCAATTTGTTTTTATTTTTTAAGGAATAAAGTTTTTAGTTATAAGGTAGTAGAAAAGTAGGTCTTACATATGCAGCACTATAGTAGCAGCAGTTTATAATGTTGTGATATTCCGAAGGGAGGAAATTGCGTGTGAGGAAATTAGGTCAGTTACATTTTTTTTGATGGGCATGTGATGCTTGCCTGTCAGTCCTTTATTTTCTAAATTATGGCATTATGACTTTGATGTTCGAGGGATTCTGTTCCCAAGAAGACTATCTACAAACTCCCAGGTCTTAGAAACATTGGGGTACCTGTCATGAAGGTCTGCTGTAATATTTTCCATTCTCATCAATTTCTTAACTATACCCATTCCTGATAGTTCAGTATAGTATATGTTTTCCAGTTTCTTTAATTATTCACCTGTCATTTATTCGAATGTTGGTGATTTCCCAATTTACAACACACTGCAATTAATGCATTGCAATGGAAGGGACTGAAGTAGCATAACTATAGCAGGACCTATACTGACAAAACTGTACCCCCAAAAAAGTGGCCAAGGACTAGTCATTATTAGCTGGAGGAAGCCTACAGGCAATACTATTTTCTCCAGGACCAACTTACCACACATGATGATGGAGATAGGAGAGGGATGTAGAGTAATCAATAGGCAGCAGGAGAGGTGGAGGAAATACAGATCTAGAGGATGAAGCAGTAATAACATCACCAACGGTCATATCAGCCTTCTGAATCAAGAGTGGGCAGGAAAATCTCATACTGTAAACACAAATGGTCAAAGGTACATGAAAGCAAAGGCACTGCAATAACTCCTGAGGAATTTAAGGCAACAGTCCAAATCTTACTAGATATTCAATGTAAGACTGTGTCAGACGTCCCAGGGAGCTAGTAGTGAGATGAGGAACCCACTGGCAGTAAGCAGCAAGACAGTCCAGAAACACGGTACAAGTTTAGGGATAATCCAAGAGGGGTAGTCAATGTCCAATCCGGGTCGAGGCAGGCAGCGAAAGTTCAAAGGTGGAAGACAGTCCAAGGGTCAGTAATCGCGAAGGATACAAAGGGGCAACAGGCAAATCAG